ACATTTGTGAGGAAGGCATTGATCAAGGTGAGATGGGGGCATGCAGAGTAGGCTTTCATCTTGAAACAACATCTTAGAGCATCAGTAGCTTCGGTTGTTTTTTTTTCAGTGTGTATCAAGTCCCCTTGTGTGAGGTTTGTTAGTAATGACCTCAAAAACCTTTACAAAGATGGTTACTGCCAATAGCCCAGATTTGCATCCTTTATCTTACTGTGAGGCTGTTGACCTTAAGCTGAAAAAATAAACAACAGATTTTGTTTTCTCTGTATCTTGAATTAGTCTCTATCTATAATGAAGTTGAGGGTTCCTGAAAGCCTCAGTCCTAGCCAGAGTAACTAACCTGCGGCATTCAGGAACGGATATCTGATCACACAGATAGAGAAATTATCAGCACAGTTAGTCATTTAGCTTATTGTGTCTGGGTCACATGTAGGTCTTCAGGTGGATATTAAAAATCTCATGAAAGTTTTTAAAAAGAGAAGGCAGGCAGTTTCTCCTGGTTTTGTGGCCAACAATCGCCAAATTAATTTATCATTCTCACCAAGACTATTTGACTACAAAAACAGTCTTTATATTTGATAGTGATTACTTGTGCAGTCTAAAGTGCTTTGAGATGTTGTAGATGTAAAGAAGTGCTATATAAAAAGTAAGTGCTAGGTTTTATGTGTGGTGAGGACAGAATTGAGCTAGGGTCTTCTCCTTCCCACAATCGGCCCCTTTTGGGTTAGCTGGTATCTGACTCATAAAGGATCCCATTACTGTGCTTAAAATTATCCAAACTCGAGTTGCACAAATCCATGCCACCTACACATGGAAATTGTGTTTGTATCTGAAAATTAGTGCGCAGGGGGATGGCATCCTGCTTATCTAATTCCAGAATGTGTTAGGCCCATGTTGACAATAGTCTGTTTTGGGAACTCATGGAGCTTAACCTGTTAAAACTTTGTATAAGATACCACACAGAGGCCATAACCCAGCATGAGTCAGTACTCTCAGGAGACGAGAAGAGAAAGCAGAAAGAAGATTGGAGGGGTGGGTGAAAACTGGAACTCTTAACAAGTATAAAAGAACTGATGTAGCATTGTCAAAATGCAAAATGCAGAACAGGCTCTGACTCAGGGTCGTGGACCCAAAACGTTCACTCACTTTCCATTCCCCATAAATGCTGCCTGACCTGCTGAGTGTTCCAGCGACCTCTGTTGATGTAGCATTTTAGCAGTTTCAAGTGCTGCATCCAGTCCTGGAAGCCCAGACCATGTAACTCTCACATGTATGTATTATGTAAGACATGGACAGATCATAGGAGAAGGGAAGAAATGCAGCTAACTTAGAATCTCATTCTAAAAGAAAATACTGAAAATTAACATTTGTACCAGTATTACAATGTTTTCATTACTAATCTGTTTTTATCGTAGTATATATAATTGAAATTCATCCAAATTACTATTTGATCAACCCTAAAAGACAGCATGTTTATATTAATTTAAATAAAACCCTAAGCAAAAACATCTACTTCTATGCTGTAGAACTATTTACAGACAGAAGAAGGCCATTCAACAACACTCAATCAATGGAGTGATTTTAAACACAGTATAGATTTGATGCAATTCAGAACTCTAGAACTGAGCAAGAGATATTTATATCACTGTATTTCCATGATTCATTATTCCCATTGACAACTAGTGTGTCAATATACTTGCACTGACAGAAGAAAAAAAATCTAAAACATCTGATTTAATCAAATATAAGTATTGATGTAACCAGTCTAAATTTGATTTTAAACAGAAAACAAATCAGCAAAATTCACATTGAAAATGAAGTAGAGGTGGGAAAGAGCTATTGAAAGGTTTGCTTTGTTACACACCCACCAGAAACTCAGTAGCTAACAACCAACAATACAGTACTTCAATGCATACATGAACTTCACATCTCATGCCAAATTCCACCCTGTTATTTAACATATTTGTGTAAAATCAACATGAGTCACTAAGTACAGGTCACTACTTATATTCTGTGGACTTCTTTGAGCTGCATATGAACAAAAAAAATAGTAACCAGTCTTTTTCTGTATACGGTTTACTTTTCCAAGTTGAGCTAGTATAATCTACTATGCAATGATTTCTGACAGGATTATTTACTAAGGAATCTGAGTGGTGATTCCTCCACCCAATATGTCACCCAAGCTCCCTACATCTCTGCCTTCCATTTTATTAATTTTCACTTTCCTCTTTTCGTTTTCTTTTTCATCAATTTTAATTTAATTTGTTTGTGGGACACTGCTGGCACAAATTAGAATTGGTCTACATTGAGGACATTACTGGAGCAGCTTAGCTGCTGCATTTGCCTGTATAACAATATTCTATTACTTTTAATCAATTACATTTGGAAAGCACTTCGGGAAGTTTATTTTTGGATCCTGAAAGGGGTGGAACAAAATGCAAGTTACTATCGCTATTATCAAGCTGACCAGGAACAATGCTTTGTGTTGAAGCATTGTTACAGTGGATATAGATTGACATATGTCTAGGTTGATATACATCTAAAATTCCATACCCCCATCATACGCATCCTTGCCAGGCTCCACTGGCTCCTAATTACTGAACGGCTCGATTTCAAGATCCTCTTGAATTTGTAAACTTGTTTTCAAATCTCTTCAAGCTCTCGCAGCTCCTTATCTATCTGATTTGCTTGCTCCCCACTCCCCCATCCGCCTCCTACGCTCGGCTGGCTTCGGCCTCTTGTTCGATCCCTTGTCCCCTTCACTCCACCATCGGTTGCCGTGCCTTTGGCCATTACGCCCCGAAACTCTGGAACTCTCTCCCTTAATCCTTCCTCCTTGTCTCCTTCCTCCCCACTTTCAAATCCCGCCTAAAGACCTTCCTTTTTGATCGTGCTTACGGTCCTCTCCCCACTCCTTCTCCCCCTGGCTCTGGTTCAGACTCCACCACTGTGAAACGCTCTGGAATACTACCCCACGTGAAGGGCATTATATAAATGCAAGTTATTGTTTTCATGTTAATAAATTGTTGTATATTAAATCTCAATCCTCACTCCTTCCACCCCCCACCCCCATCCTTCTCAGTCAAAAGGGAGGACTATGATTATCTTATACTACTTTAGTTCGAGGAATGTCTTCTTGATATATCTGTCATGTCATTCATTTGTATTGAGACACCTAGGTGAAAGATAGAGGGCCAGAATGAAGAGCACCACCAAGGAAATAAAATGATTTGGATTTCAACATAGTGAGGGTGCAAGAACAGCATATAGGACAATGCTCATTAGGTTTTGGAGGAAGATACAATTGTAACTGGGAATAAAAAGCACTGAGGGAATGATGTCACCCAAAACAGCTTGCAATCTATGCTCAATATATATAGCTTTCAATTGAAATTAGTGTTTACTTACCCAACCTGTAGTATAAACAGAATATAATTCACTTTCTGGTGCTGACATTACTTCTCTTAAATTCTCAGGTTTATTTATAGGATTAAAAATATATCCTCAGACTCTTCAACAGCTATCCTATCCCTATATACATCCACCTAATATCTATTATATTTGAATCATTGTAGAAAAGCAATTTATTTTAGTTTGTGCTTCTGCCGTGCATTTGAAAGCGCATGTGTAAATTAAAGGGACAAACAGAAACAAGTTGATGATCTGTTCCATATCACTCTCATGACTAAATTGAATTGTGAGGTGTGTTCTGAGGCTATTCACAGTTGTGCTCTGAAATATCTAAGCATTTTCATGGAAAATACTAGGCCCAAAATACAAATTCTGCTTTGAATATCACTGGAACAGTACAGGGACAATTTTAGCTTCCCTGTTAGTAGCAGCCAGTTTAACACATTGGCACTGGATTAATTTCAAGTGTTCATAGCAGCTCTATGTGTAATAAAGACAATAATAAAAATACAAAACATGTTTTTGCGTAGACACCTACATGGGATATCTATCACACTGTGATTCAACAGGGACAGTCTCAAAAATGGAGATATTTGATGGTAACTCATTATATTAAATATTTAATTGAATATCTCATCCTACAAGTTAGGGAAACTAAATTTCTCTGAAGAACAATGGGAGTTACTCAGCTATATAGACATAAATTCAATATTCAACCACTTACTTTTTATATTCTACTGATGTATTAAGTATTTCAATACAGTCTGAATAAGCAAGTGTTATAAGAGGGTTACACTGAATAAGTGTAAGTGAGATAAAATAACAAGATGAAATATATTAAATAACACGAATGTATCCAAATAACTGTATCCCAACGCAACTAGCATAAAGACAATAATGTGTTTATAACAGGCCGAACCATCCACACATCTAGTCACTATTTCAGATAGAATTAACTACTGTACTTGGACTACTACACTAGTGTAGTATTACACTACTAAGGTCACATTTATTAGCAGCCAGAAGTGTAAAGGGACTGATTAGACCCAATTTACTGAAGTGTTCAGAATATGCATCAATCTACTAACTTAAGAGTAGATAAAAAGTATTTACGATTGACTGTGTACCTATGGGTTAACAGCAGTCTTGCATCTTTCTAATACAAGGCACAATAAATTATTTAAGGTCAAGTCAGTTCAAAATATTGTTTGCACACACAGAGAAAACCGAAGACAGTAAAGAATATACAATGCATTGATTTACTGTTCTTTCTGAAATAAGTATTTTGCATATATATAGCTTTTTAATGTTGTGAATACGTATCTGTCTTTGTAATAACAATTAGCCACAATTGGCTTTGCAAACAAAAATGTAGTATCTCTTTAAGTAGCCTACTTTGTGTGAACCATTATTCCTCTGACACAATGTGGTTTATAATCCGGTAGATAAGAACTTGTGTGTTTGCTCTCCCAACATTTGCTGTCTACTACTGTGACTTTTAGAATGATATACATGACCACAGTAAAACAATAGAACTGATTATAGTACAGTATCCAATGAACACTCTCCTTGTTCTGTGGTAAGTTTACCTGGTATTGTAATTGTCTGTTGTGTGCTGTCTGTGGTTAAGGACAGCTGAGCACCTTTGCTCAATCTGTCACACAGCAGGGTCATGTGCTTCTTCAATCTACTGGTATCCTTAGGCATAGCGAGCTGGCTTGTGAAGCTCAGGGCCTGGTCCTTCGAGCTCTTAGACAGACAGTTCCTTAGTAAGTGAACAATTGCTGCATCCACACTCTCTTCCCAGCCCTGTTAGAATGAAGAAATGCAATGCATTTAAAATCATTGCAAATTACATCGACTTTGGGTCTAAATTGTGACTTTGTGTCTTTAAGTATTGAATATGAGCTACCCTCCACCCAACATGATTCTGTTCTTAATACTGATATCTGAAGCTGAGCTATACAATTGTCTTTCAACACGTTTAGATAATTCATATGTATAAATTAAAGAAAGTTAGACAATTTTTTTCTTGTGATCAGTAAAACATATATATAAATTGTGTTCAGATTCTCAAGGCAGGTTACTAGTTTTCATCAGTTTCTTATAAACACAGTATTTCTATCACAGGACTCTAATACAGTAATACTTCATTTCAAATTTTATTATCCATGTAGCCTTGAAAGATGATCCAAGAATTCAAAGACTCCAGGAATGCCTTTGGACATTTAGTTCTATAGATAGAATAACTTGACATTTAGTTCTATAGACTGAATAACTAATAATCTAAAATCCCTCAGATTTCAAAGTTGTGTGTAATCACAAACAGTTACAAAACGTATTTTTATTTTGTGCCAAAGGATAGCTCAAAGCTATGGAGTATGATTAAGCTCAAAGCTACAGAGTATGATTATTATTCTCAACGTGGCAGAAATTTCAGCTGGTACTCCATGAAATAAAACTTGCAAGTATTCATTCCTTCCTGATTAATATCAAATAGTCATCCAGCACACACCATTTAAGGAAGGAGTCTCACCTTTCAGGTACTTTTGGAGAAAAAAAATGTTCCAAAGGTTACATTAAAATTGTCCATTTTATAATAATAAATAATATAATAATAATGTTGTTTAAACAGTGTGCTGAGATTTTGAGAGGCCAATTTTTATATGTTTGTTTACTAAATGGAACTGGAAATTCTATGACTGTCCATAGAAAACAGGGTGGTTACAGGAAGCAATTAAACTGTTCTTAGTGTAAATTTTGAGTGGTTTTCTGTGAAGCTCTGTTGCATTCCTATCCATAGAAGTCTAAACTAACTTATAACAGCATACTTCACACTTTCTTTGATGCTGTAGAATTGTTGTAGTTATTAAGTCTATTATATGCCACTTGTAAAGCATGTGTAAAAATTTACAAAGAGGAATTTTAGATGCCTTGGTGGCACATAAACAATGCTGAAGCAGGAAGTCAGCCCCGGCTTTGAGTAACAATACACTACGTGAAGAAGCCAGTGCTACTGCATCTGGAAGAAGATTAACTTGAGATGTGCTCTTCAGTTACTCCAGAGGCAACAACAACTTGCATTTATATAGCGCCCCTTTCGCAGAGTAGTGTCTCAGAGCACTTGTCCCAGAGCAACAGTGGCATTAGCTACAAAAACAAATAAGAACATAAGAACATAAGAACCAAGGGTCAGTCTTAAAATTAGGGATAAGCCCTTTCGCACTGAGTTGAGGAAAAACTTCTTCACTCAGAGAGTAGTGAATTTATGGAATTCTCTACCCCAAAGGGCTGTAGATGCTCAGTCCTTGAATATATTCAAGACTGAGATTGATAGATTTCTTGTGGATAAAGGAATTAAGGGGTATGGGGATAAGGCGGGTAGGTGGAGTTAGAATAGATCAGCAATGATCTTATTGAATGGCGGGGCAGGCTAGAGGGGCCGAATGGCCTATTTCTGCTCCTAATTCTTATGTTCTTAAAAACAAATACTCGTCTCTAGCGCTGTTTACCCTCATCTTGCAATTGGTAGGCTGAGAGTTTACGACTCACACGCAGGACATCAATGTAGTTTCCCCAGAACTGGCCTTTACAGATTATTCCCCCCTCCCCCTCTCCAAAGGAGGTCCAGCAGCATAAATACAGTCAACTCTACAGACATAAACCTGTCCTTGCACAACTGTGTGACTCGTAATGTGTTTCAAAGTTGTTTCTGATTGAGTTGACTCTAACAGAAATACCAGCTTCAGCCTGTAAACTGGCAACAACAGCCCTGCAGTCCCTGGCACGAACGCAAGGACATCCGGCTATGTATTAGGTCCGACTATCTGTAACTCACTTGCCACAATTTGCATCCTCTGTCTGTAACTCCTGGCTAACTAGCTGTGGCCATGGCAGCAGGGAAATAACAAAATCACATACTTGTAGTCTGAAATGTTTAGAGATATAATAAATTTGACACAATGATATCACATGCATGACCAGTTCATTGGTGGAAGCTGTAATCAACGGACTCTGCAACTAAATACCAGTAATAAATCCTGGTCAAGAGCAAAGTTGCCCAACATTCACACACAGCTTTTTCCCTCCAGTACTATTATTTAGTTATAGGCCAAGTGGATTTCTTCATCCAAACGCCTCATGTGCTCTGGCATTACAAGCTCTACCACGGTTTTGCACATGAGCAAGATATGTGACATCAGCAGGTCTACAACGTAATACCCAAATACATGTGATGTAGACACATTTGAAACTCAGGCATGGAACTGAAGGCAGAAAGAAAGCAGTTTGTATAAAGTAAAAGCAGTGGCTGGACTGAAGCATCACTCTTAATACTGCAAGAGGTAGGATAAACCCAGTAACAGGGTACAGAGTAGTTACTGAGCTGGCAATGTGAGAGATGAGCAGAGATAAAGTATTTAGTCCAGGGATCTTCACCAATGACTTGCTAGTACTAACAATGCATCTTCTTTCATGCACTCACACTAAATCCCCGCTGTTCTCGACAATATCCTCCTGAGCAATTGCTGTTTCAACCCCCCCCCTCCCCCCAAAAAAAGAAAAGATGTTGTCATTGATCATAATTCTGTGCATTGCTTTAGATTTTCTTTGGTAAAACCCTTTTTAATAACACAATTCTGTTAACCTATTTAAAATGTAATTTAACACTACGCAGTGCAAAAATGTGACCTAGAGTTCAATGACTAGAACACCCTTATCTACCCATAGTAAACTCTGAGAATACCAATGTCAAACAACTCTATTGAAAGTAGAATGCAATTTTTTACTTGGTATTGATTTATTGCATCTCTCTATCTAGTTCTTAGAAAAAGGTCAGAAAATATACAGTGAATTGCTATTTCCTGAAAAAATATTTCTTCTAATTCTCTTATTAAAGAGCTTAAAGAGGTTTGCTTCTCAAACACTATGGAGGAGACTCCCCAATTCTCAATCAAGTTACCAACCTTGATAGGTGAGTGGATCTCATTCTCCACTCACGTTATCAGGGTTAGCAGATCTTATCAACCACTGGCCATTTGAAACCGCTATGCTTTTGAAAAAACTACAACTATTTTAAGTTAACATTGCATTGCAAACTTGTGAACAAATTTAGAAACAAAATCAGTACTGAACTGATTGCTCTATAAATGCTACTTTGAACAAACTATGATGAGACAAAAATCTTCTTCCTGAATTATGTAATCATATTATTATGTACATATTATTGCCAAACTGTCTTCAAATCATATCATTAGCTTACTAAATCTGTATTTTATAAATCTTCCTGATAGAAAGATTAAAAATAATGATTCTTTCTTTATTGAAAATGTGTTGCATTGACATAGTTGTTAAGTTTTCCTTCTCTTAAAAAGTTCACAAAAAAAACTGAAAAAATGAAACATTATTTTCACAAATGTAAGTTTGCAAATCATTTGTTTCTTGAGTTTATTTAAGGTTAAGTATGAGAATAGTTTTCTTCTCTTCAAAAACTGAATGGGCAACTAAAAGCATTTGTGTTACACAGCAGAACTAAATGGAAGCTTTGTTATAATTTTCCGTTATTTAGTCCTTGCAAACTGTGGTCAAGAAAGATGTGGAGGAATTGTGTTTAACCTCCACTTAAACCCTGGACTCTAAAACATTACGTAGACCACAACAGACAGTAAAACACAGATATCCACAATAGAGGTTAGCCTTAAATAATGACCTCTTCTGGAGACGGTCTGCTGTGAAAGATACCAAAAGAGCTGCAGGTGCTTTGACCAGAGGCTTTTAGATAGCCTTACCACTATAAGACACCCTAAAGGAAATGCTGATAATGGGTAATCAGGTTGGTAATGATGATAATAGGGAAGGTCTATAAACCCCAGAATTTACGATGCTTCTCTTAGTCCATTAAACAGTGACCTGCTTGAATGTCAGACAGGTGTTTTGCTTTCTACATCTTCTTCTGCATCTGCTGCTAACACAACATTTCTGCCCTCTAAATGATAGGTGTTGATTTTGAATGCATCAGTTCTTTAAGTAATTGTAGAAAGATTTGGGTGAAATCCTGCTGTTCTTTTCTTCATCACCCTTTTCCAATCTATGAAAAAGATTATTTTCTATGTGCTATTTCAGAACTCTGAGGTTCAGTCTGTATCCTAGAATCAAAACCAAATTAGCCCAAACGAATAATACAAACTTTTGGGAAGGAATCTATTGCGGGTATTTGGATCTGTATTTGGAACAATTGAATGTTTCATTAGTGCAAAGTGCTGCTTCAATTATGTTTTGTTACATTAATGGCACTTACTAAATGTTATGGTTTATCAGTGCCCACATTCCTAACTATGGAATTTTATTGTATACACAACAGGATATCTGATCAGTGTCAATTATTAGAACAGTTACTTGACTCCACAAAAGGGAGCTGATGATTGTATAACAATAACCCAGGATGCCTTAGCCTGTGTTAGCATATGATGTTGTGATGCTGCCTAATTCCATATAAGTACACATAATATAACACTGAAACATAGCATTGCTATCATTAGTCCTTTTGTGTGGAGTAATCATTTCGTCAGTAGAAACCAATATTCTGGTTCCAATAAAATTCTTCCAAGACACTTTACAAGTCTCTCAGTCTCAATTCCAACTGCCTCCATACCTATCAACAATATATCCAAGCTGTAAATCAAATGGATCTGAAGCATATTCAATACACTACATTTCAAGCTTTAAAATGAACTGGTCAAACTAAGAGTGTATTTTAAAAAAGGGTTTCATAAAGTATAATAAATACATTTCTAAAAAAAATTCTATTAATA